TTCTCCTCCTCTGTCTCACTGTGTCCTTCTCCTGTGTCTCACTGTTTCTTTCTCTTCCTCTGTCTCACTGTGTCCTTCTCCTCTGTCTCACTGTGTCCTTCTCCTCTGTCTCACTGTGCCCTTCGCCTTCTCAACTGACCTCCCTTGAGGTCTCTTTGCTGTTTGTTGTGCCTCCCATCTCCTGTAGGGCCTGTGTCTTCCCTTTTACACCTGATGCACGTCTGTGCAGTGCAGTGTATTAGAAAGAGGTTGAATGCCATCAGCCAATGATCTTGCAGATCTTAAAGACTCTTACAGACCTCAGCATTCAAAAATATTTGGACAGCGAAGTCAAAACTATTATGTTTGTTTTATAGCCACAATATACATTCACAAGCAAATAATACTTTGAGTATAAATTAGTGATTTCATGTCATGTAAATATGTATTGTTAGACATACAGTAGATATTAGGTCAGGTAAGTAAAAAGTCACCATTTATAATATTTAGAAAAGCAAGATCTTGCTAATCAGCTTGTTGGAAGTCTAAGATAAAGCACTCATAGATACTTAAAATACATCTGGTGATCTGGTGTATTTCTTTTCTCAGAAGGCTCAATGATACAATTAGTGGAGTCCCACAGGCCTGTGTGCTGGGACCACTTCTCTTCTTAATTATATCAGTAATATAATTAGTGGTGTAGTTAGGGGTCTGTATTAACTACTTACAACCAAATAAGCTGGCTAATTGGCTCCTATTGTGTGTCACCGTTCTTATTTCATGGCTAGTTACCGAGTTACCACTGATTATATAAACCATACCATTGTAGTGTACCTGACAGCCAGTGTCTTGGAAATCACAGGGTTCTTTTTTTCAATTGTTGCAGCTATTTCTGATTTTGTTTGATTTCATGCTAGGAGCCCCGTAGAGAGCAAATAAAGGAAAGCTGTGGTCCCAGTACCGACCCCTGTGGTTTTCCACTTATTATATCACTGATAGAATTCAGAAGAGCAGTGGTCTCAGTACAGACCCCTGTAGCACTCCACTAACATCATCACATCCTTTATATTATTATTTGGTCCCAGAAGTTCATCCCTATGACTCCACATCCCACCAGCCTTGGTGTAAACTGCCTCCTGTTCACAGCTTTAAATGCTCTCCCCTTTGTATAATAATCACCCTTCTTATCGATAAAGCACCTTTCCAAACCCAAGGACACTGTAGACAGTGATAAAGAAGGAAAAGCGAAAAAATAAAAGACGAGAAAGAGTCTCCTGGAGAGAGTGTAAACATGGAGCCAGATTGTTTAGAGCCTGGAAGGTCAATAACAGGATCTAATATTCCATACTTGACTTAACAGGCAGCCGATGTAGTGACTTCAGTGGAGGAGTGATATGCTGCCAGTGTGCGCTAGAAGTCTAACTGCAGAGTGTTGGACAGCAACTTGTTAAGAAGAGCGTTAGAGAGTACAGAGTTGGAGAAATCAAGCCTCGATGTTATAAAGACACTCGGCACTCGGCTTCAGACACTGATGGAAATAATTAGGTCAGTATTTCTAAAGTGAAAAAAAGACGTCTTAATCGAATTTTTCACAGAAGGCTCAAAAGACAGGACAGGATCAAGTGTGACTCCCAGATTCTCGAATACGGGTGACGTATAATAATAATAATTGCTTACACTTATATAGCGCTTTTCTGGATGCTCCACTCAAAGCGCTTTGCAGGTAATGGGGACTCCCCTCCACCACCACCAGAGTGCAGCCCCACCTGGATGATAATAATAATAATAATTGCTTATACTTATATAGCGCTTTTCTGGACACTCC